TTTTTTTTTACTCTGACAATTTATGGCACTTTCGAGGACAAGTGTCTTCACTTTGCCATCCGCTGCACAATGTGAAAACATCTTAGAATAAAACAAATAAAACGGTATATCTTGAAAGTAGAGGCACCAAGTATTAAAACGAGCCAAGTTCATTACTCTCCGATTTCTTTCTACAAACTTATAACAATCTCACTTAATTTAATTGGTCGTCCGAATGCCAATGTCAGTCGCTGTACGTCGATTAATTCCCCAAACTTGCGTCGAATCATTCGCGTTACAAAAAAAGAAGAAAAAAAAAAAAAAAAAGACGCAATGTCACTATCTTGCAATGAAAATCAGACTTTGCCGAGGCGTGAAAGAACAAAAGGACAAAAGGCGTCGTACCCATAGCTAAAAGGCATCCGCGATTCAAACGAGCAATTTGCGCGAGCTTCCCATTAGGCTGCTCGAAACAACTGTTTAATAACGCATTATGCGGCGGGCGCGAGGGAGTTAACAGGAGAAACAGGAGTAATCGCTCGTAATGCATCTCATCACGCAATCCAGTCCTTTACCTTTCACCTGCTGCGCCGGTTTCAAGACCACTCGCCGCGTATCTCGTCGTTTTCATCGCGTTGCGCCTCTTCATGAAAATTCACACGCCCTCGTCAGCCTGTGGGATCCGGTATAAAGCTGTGCCACTCGTGCCACGTGTTTGAAAAACTTCCACCGCCCTCCTTTTGCGATATTGTTTGTAACAAAGGTGAAATTAAAATTAACAGTAAAGTGACTAGTCAGATCAGATTAATTTCAGGTGAGAAATAATTTTGTAGACGCGAAACGGTGTAGGCTTTAGAGATTTGAATGATTTTTGGTGAAACACAGCAGGCAAGAGCCAGTAAAATTAATGATTACAACTAGCGATCGAGAATGTTTAGGAATGTTTCTAAACAGGTTCTACTTGAAACGTCGAATTTTTTGAAAAATATTCTTGCATTGCAAGATATCAAGTTTCAGACAGACTGGAAACATGAAAGTTTTCCTAAGATAATTTGTTCATCATTGTTAAAAACAGCTGTGTCAATGTTTATAGCGAAATCAGTGAATGGCACTCGAAAAATGGATTTTTAATTAAATGCTTTAAAATAACTTGTTTCGATCGAACTTTCATCATATACGGATTTCCCGAAAGCATTACTACTTCCACGAGAGCATTATTCGAAAGTGTTCTTTCTAAAAATTTAAATAGAAACAGACTTTTTTTTTTTAAACGAAATATGACGTTAGGTTCGAATTTTCTTAAAAAACTGCAAATGAAAATCGTGCAACAATTTGGTTTCATCTTGAAGCTCAAGGCCTCTCTCTCTGTTTTCATAGTCTCGAGTTCGTTTCTCCCAAAGATGATTTCACGCAGCGGGTGAAAAAGTAAAGACTCTATAATCCCGTATATCTCGGAGTCTTTCTCACGGAAAATTCTACTATCCATTCAGATAAACTGAGAAAGGAGAAAAAAAGAACATTCGACAGAGAGAGAAAGCGAGAGACACCTTGAAGAATGGTGCCGGATAAAAGATGATGGAAAAGCAGAATCTGAACGGGAGAAAGAGGAAGAGAGAACGAAAGAAGGAAAAGTCGCAGGTTAGGTTACTGAAACACACGTAGGTTACTCACACACGGCGAGATTTCCCCATTGGTATCATGCCAAAGCGGCGCGGCGATTGGTCGTTGTTCGAAAGCAAAGTGGATCAGCCGGCCGTATAAAACTCGTTCCGCTGGAAAAATCCTGAAAACGCGGGTGGTACGGTATAGCGTCGCTTGACCGGTAAATATTGCCCGGTGCGTCCGTGCGACACTTTTTCTTTCGCTGTCTCGCCGCGTTCCCTCGCTCATAAACAACGTAATGACGCGCCAAACGCGAAACCCAATTCCCGGATTTCAACGGTGGACCGCGGAGGTGGCCAGAGGAAGCCTGCATACGTGTCGACGTGCTCCTTCTCACACAGTGAAACGGACCCGGAGCCGATCTGCAAGTTGAGAGAGTAAGAGAGAGAGAGAACGGTAAAAGCCACCGCGACAATGGCCTCCGGGCTGCATGTAAATCACGGCCACGACGTCGACGACGACGACGACGACGACGACAGCAACGCGACCGGGCTCTCGTCTCCATTTTCTCGCTTCTGCTTGCTGCTGCTATAGTGTTACCCACTGCTTCTACTGCTGCTCGTTCTTTCCACTCTGTCAGATTCTCGCTAAACGAAGCTGCTCGTCGATCGTCCGCGTGTTATCGTCTCTTTTCCGCGAGTCTTTTTTGTCGTCGTTGCCACTGCAACACGCTGGTAGATGCGCGAATCGGACGATCCGTTAGATTTGATGAGGGAGGCTCGTGCAGTAAAGCGCGGGATGTTTCGAGATTATGCGAGAGCTCGAGGCGAACTTCGAGGTATTACGTGAGGCTGTGGCAAGTTGACCTTGATCGTTGGCCACCTCTTGCTTCGTATCGTGAACGACGACGTACTGACAGATTTGTGGGATTCAGTTTCATTTCGTGTCTTCTTAAGGTCTTTTTTTTTTTTTTTTTTTTATGATTGTTAGCTGGTTATTTCCTACTTGCAGTCCCTGGAGTTTCCTTGGATCCCTGTACCTGCATTTAATAATGTTAGTTAGGTTTTAATTCAATGGTATCTTGTACGGGTTGGTTGTTTATTTTCTGTGTTTGTTCGTATTGCAGGAGATAATTTTCAAAAAACCTGCGTTTCAAAATTCTTAAGGTCTTCTTAACCTCTGGTAACTGGTTGACGGACCATAACGAGTGACCAAACCGTATAATTCGTCTCTTTTTTTTTCTTTTTTTAATTCATCGGTATATCACTGGATAGAAAGTCAATAAATTTACTAATTATGTACTAAGAAGTAGTAAATTTATTGTTTGTCTTGCCTGGGTTATATTTCAACATACTTAATACTGAGAAAATATTGCAATTCTGGGCCAAATATTTCCGACGTGCGTGGCACGTCATTCCAGCGCAAAAGGTTAAATATATGTTGTAAGAAAATGAAGTTTTGGAAAGTTACAAAATGTACATATTAGTAAAGAAAAATTGAGTAACTCGGGTTAATTAAATCGCCATTGACGACGAATTTATGTTTGTACTTTGTTACACCGATTAGCAGACAATTTTAGTAATTTGAATTTAATTGACTTCTCAATTTTTGATAAAGGACTTTTTTGTATTGCAGTTTGAATAAACGCAGAAATGATTCACGAGTAGAAATTATGAGAATCACGTTATTTGTAATAAGTTTGTTTGAACATTCTCTCTGATTACTATAATGTGCAATTGCAGTTTAACGAACGTTTTATTTTTGATGAAATTAATATCACTATGATTTAATTTCAAACGACGTGCACGCGCAACTGTATTAAAGTTTTTGCTGTATCAATTACTTTCCTTATCCGTGTGAAAAATGAATTTCCTTAATTGTTTAAATTTTCACGATTTTTGGGGGGAAATGAGCGAATTTCTTAATAAGCACTCTTATACTCGTCGTGATTGAAATAAAACCGACTAGCAGTAAGAAACTTTCCGCGAGACAAGTTTATCGTTTACTGTTGTAAAGTGAGCTAATTTTAAAACGACTTTTCTATTATTAACGTATTCGTCAGCGTTTGCAACATTTATCTTTCTAAAACTGTCCAAGTTTAGATTCCTTTGATAATTTCGTGCCAAAGGTTGGCAAACTATATTTGTTCAAGTGGTGCTTCTCAATTGAGTTCAGGTTGCCTAATTATAAATCAATTTTAAATAGTATTTATATTGTTTGTATTTATTAATAGCGTTAAAATGGTATTTTCAACTACGTTCTCGGTGTGAAATTGAAATAAAATATTTGCATTAAAATACGAGAAGAAGGGGAAAGTACGACGCTGAAAATATTTCGCCAAACGATATTTTGCATGTTTTATCAATATAATCTTAATCGTATCTCAGTAAATACAAGTCTGTAAATTATTCTCTTAAACAATTAAAAGTGTCGAATCCAAATAAAAATTTGTTTCATCTACTATATATTATCACAAGTATTTGAATACTTTATTATATATAAGTATTAGAATCTTATGAATTAAATTTTGCAAAATTATGAACAGCGAAGAACATAATTGTACCAATGACAATGAAAAATTGTCGATAATTTAAACTTTGTAAAAAAAAAAGGTAACAACCTACTTGATTTTATTTTGAAGCGTAAAATCTCTAATAATTGTGAGTTCATTTTTTTCAAAGACGATTTTACATCAAGTAGCGAGTGGAAAAATGAGGATGCTCTTCTTTCAAATGTTATAAAATTTCAAATGTCCCTGGAAACGTTAAAAAATTTTTTTATGACTACATCTCTCATAATCTCGAAGATTTTCTTCCTCTCTTTACAACGATCTCTTAAACCTCGCTGTACGATCTTCTTTCACCATTTTATTGAACTTTGAACATTACGGTTAGATGATGAAGCGTCGAGATTTCTTGAATTTTTTGTCGTTTAATTTTTATACTCAACGTTCAATAAAACGACGAGGAAAAGTCGTACAACAAATTTTCAAGAATCGTTATAAAGGAAAAATGATAGATTCAGTCACGAGAGTTCTTACAATTTCCAAAAAAACAGTATTCTTTTCACTAGATTTCCAAAAAAACAACTTTCTCATTCACATTCACAATTAAAAAAAAAAAAAAAAACAACTACCAGTGTAAAAGTTCTATACTTTAAAACGAGATCAAGTGAATTGTTATATAATGTTGTTATATTTTTTCCACAAAGTTTCGAGAATTTAAATTACCGACAATTTTTCATTGTCGTTTGTAGCAATTACACTTTTCGCCGTGCAAATCCATAATCTACTCGTTAAAATGTTAATAAAATTTCGGAATATATATACTCGTGTCTTTCGATCGTATTTTTTTTTTTTTTTCATCTATTGTTCGCAGAAACGTATCCAATGTAACGTCGTTTTTCTTATCTTGTTGCAGAAGTCCCATGTGTCGAGGATGAGCGGGAGGACCGACGAGTACTTGTGATAAGATGTAGGAATAATTATACCGGACCACAACCAAGATACGTACCGTACCATCAGACGTACTTCAAGGACGCCGATCTATGCCTGTGCAACTGTGGCGCGAAAAGAACGCCGTAAAACTGCGATCAACGGTCGGGGGAGGAGGTGTCGTCGGATTCGTTGCCACTAGTTCACGCGTCCACTCGCCGAAAATGGGACGCGACGAAGGAGTTTGAAGTTCCAAGCTCTCGAAATTCCACGAAAATTCCACCGTTCTCCGCCAGTCCTAAATCCTACGTTTCCCTTCGTCCCAGTGTTTTGAGAACAGTGTTGTCCCAAGTAGAAAAACACAGGGTTCGTCGCGCTCTGTGATCATTCCGTTGAAAATATTTCGTCCGGCAACGAAATTGGGCTGAGTTCAATGTTTCGCGACAGCGGAGAGACGTTAATCGTGATGTAACGTAGGTGGTGAACGTTTGTATTCCGTTTCTGTGACGCGTCAGTCGGGAAATGCAACCGGAAGTTGGAAGACGATGGAAACTTTCCTCTCTCGTGCTTGAAGGTTCAATAGAATTTATTCACGCCTTTTTTTCTTATTCTTTGCTCTCCTCCTCAGCAAACGAAACAGAATATTTTCCGATACTGGCTGTTATTGCTTGTTGGAAGTTGGTTGAATTTGGCGAATCTCGGTTCAAGCTCGTCTGTTCTTTTGAACTTTCTCGCGAAGATAGAGTTTGCACGATAGAAACGATTAATTGAAAATCACGAAATTTCTGCTCACGGAGTAACTTGAAATAAAATTCAAGGAGATAAATTCAGAATTTATTAGATTACCTTAAAATACGAAGTTTTGCTCAATCCGTTATTTGAAGTAAAATTCAACAAGATAAATTTTGAATTTATTATTTGATAAAAAGAATTGCAGAATTTCTACTTATCCTGTAAATTTCAAAATTTTCGTTGCCAAAGATCAATTTCAAGTATAGTATTCAAGCTCTACAAGTTCCTTAAAAAAAGAAAAGAAAAGAAAAGATAATTTATTCTAGAAAATAAATTCAAAACATATTGAACAGAAACAATTCGCACTTCTTCAAAATTCGCTTTCAAACATCGATAATCCGTATCGAACATGATATTTAAGCACCACGAATTTCAAAACACCTACTATCAAAAGAAAGAGAAGAAGGAAAAATAATTTATTCGAGAAAATAAATTCAGAATATATTAAGCAGAAACAATTCACACTTCTTCAAAATCCGCTTTCAAACATCGATAATCCGCATCAAACCCGATATTCAAGCACCACGAATTCCAAGATGCCTATCAAAAGAAAGGAAAAAAGAAAAAGTAATTTATTCGAGAAAATAAATTCAGAATATATTAAGCAGGAACAACTCACATTTCTTCAAAATTCGCTTTCAAACATCGATAATCCGCATCAAACCTGATATTCAAGCACCACGAATTCCAAGATGCCTATCAAAAGAAAGAAAAAAAGAAAAAGTAATTTATTCGAGAAAATAAATTCAGAATATATTAAGCAGAAACAACTCACACTTCTTCAAAATTCGCTTTCAAACATCGATAATCCGCATCAAACCTGATATTCTAGCACCACGAATTCCAAGATGCCTATCAAAAGAAAGGAAAAAAGAAAAAGTAATTTATTCGAGAAAATAAATTCAAGCAAACACACAATTTACATTTTTTTTCTTTTTTTTTTCAAACATCAATCCATGTCAAACGCCAGTATTCAAGCGAACTACGAATTCCAGAACACGTATCTCTCATGCAAAACGACGAGAGTTAATTTTTCTTTTTCCGTTAAAGTCGTCGGTATGCATAACAAACGGAAGACCTTGGCCTACGAAGAATCGTTTCTTCGCGAATCGCCACCGATATCCGGGATTTTCCCTCCGCTCGAGCCAAGGGAGAACAAGCGACATCCCGTCGGGGCTCCTCTCGATCGCTAGAGTATTCCGATCAGCACCACCAGATCCTTCTTGTTTCCTTTCTCGTGACTTCCGCGCGAGTCGTGCGCGTGCACGAAGAGGCCGAGAGGACCTACCAGCACCATCGCGTGGCACGAAGATCGACGAGCGATGCTCCTCCTCCTCCACGACGATGCAACAACACGCATCGCATGCACGCCGCGAGCTACGCGACAGCTCGCGGCAACTTCGCGGCTGGCGTTCCACTTCCGTCTCGCGGATCGCTCGACGGACACGAAACGAAAAAAAGATCGGCGCCACGGACAGATCCACCCACCCAGGGATATTTCGTTTCTTCTCTTCTCTGTGTGTTCGCCGCCTCGATCGGGATTCCCCGGTTCGCCGGTTTATTTTTGCGGATCCGCGGCGAACGTTGGAATCCACGAACGAAACGGCCAATGAAACACGCGACGAGTTTGGGCCAGTTCGACGGAGTTTCGCTTGTACATATTTTTTTTTTCCATGCGTTTCTTTTTATTTCTCGGTTTTCTTCTCTTTTTTTCTTTTCATTTCTCTGTCTCTGTACTTTCTCTTTGTATCTGTTTCTCTCTTGCGTCGAGAAGACACGCGAGCGTCGTTCAATCGGCTGCAATTTTTGGCTGGACGACCCAGTCGATTTTTCTTTTTTTTTTTTTTTTGAAACTGCCGGTGTGAACTGAGCGTCGATCACACGATTGCGATAACTTTTGGTTGTTCAAACGGAAATGACGCGTTTATCGATTGAATAACCTGGCCGTGCCAGCCGTTTAATTGGCCGATGTAAACGCGAATTTGACTCGCGTTGGCGCGATAAGGTAAGAACCGGAAGGGAAGAAAAGAACAACACGACGAAAGAATGCGATAATAAACAATTGGCGACGAATTGACAAGACGTATGTTCACGACGTTTCGCCGTGCGTAAAACACGATCTCTGTTCCCTATAAAAGTAACCTCACGTGCTCGGACGCGCACACTATACATATATAAATAAATATAGACATAGAATATATTATATAAATATAAATATAAATATATGATTATACATAAATATGAGAGATGAACGAAGGACACACAATTATTATTGTATATGTAACGAAAAAAAAAATATATATATATATAAGAATACACTCTATTTGCGGAGAGAGAGAGAACTGTGCGCGGAAATATCGCTACGAATTCTATATTGCGGTATATATGTATGATATTTATATATATACATAACACGCATATATATTATTATATATAGAGCATATCATACATATATATGATATTATACAAGGATACAAAATATATTGAATATATTCTATAGAATATTGTACGTTTGCTAATGTTATGTATGATACACAAAGGAAGAAAAAAAGTATATATAATTATGTGTATAATTATATATATATATATATATACGCGAAGAGTTAAGTACATAGGTTATGCATAAGGTATACATAGGTACAATTAACGTTTAAGTAAGCTGCTACAAGTAGAACACATGTCTAAACGAAGGATAAAAAGTTTTTAGTCACGTTGGTTAGAAACCGGAGTCGACACACGTAACGACCGACGTAATGCTCATTCCGCGTGGCTTCTTTCGGAATCTGTCATCTTAAAAGGACAGAATGGATGACACGTTGGTGCTTTTCGATAGGTAAACGTTCCCATCTCCCACCCCCTCCCCTCTTGTCCCTTTCCTGTCTCTTTCTTCCCCCCACCCCCACCCCTCCCCGTCCACTCCTTGATTTTTCGTCAACGAAAACGGTAATCGTTAAATAGATGTGCTACTTAGATAAACGGGGCTGACAGTGTCGCGTTTTTCGTGCAAAAAATAGAAAAAAAAAAAAAAAAAGAAAAACAAATATGCATCTTGCGCTTTATTGAGAAAGAACATTGAGTTCTGAGACACGAAGAGGCGTGTAAAATGTCCGGCTGATTCGATCGAGCCTTTTTTGTCTCGCGAACTTTTCTCATTCGGTCAGTGTTCGTTTAAACGCGAGATATATCTCGTCAGCCGTCCGTGACGTGGATCTCGATCGTCGTTGGATCGAGGCGCCAGAAGAAACGCTGTCAGCCCGACGAGAGTCCTAGAGTTCGTCCTTCACGATGTTCCTCGAGGTTCGCGCGAGCCTTGCAGGGAGAAACCTCTGGCTAGGGAGAAACGCGCGAGTCGAGATAAGTGTCTTTTACTATCGAAGAGCTTAGGCGAATTTAGTAGACGTTAGCCCGACGATCGAACGGACGCGAACGGAGGGAAACGCGTTTGTCGGGGTTAGCTAGGCCACCATTAGCGAGCTAGGATCCTCAAAACGTCGTCGAAACAACTATCAGCTATTACGGACAGCTTTCAGCAGCGCGTATGGCTTTTGGTGATTAGCGTACGCTTGGAGTTGGCGCGTGGTTGGCTGCGTTACGATGGCGTCGTAAATGGTACCACGTGGTGCCGCAGCGAAGAAAGAAAGTCAATTTTATCAACAAGTATGATTAAGTCTAGGGTATAACCTACGCGCGTATAGTTTGGCCCCGGTTCGACTGAGTAACAACGTTTGCTACGGGGCTGGGGTGACGAACGACGACTGACCGATTCCCACTCGAACGCTTCTCGAGCATTCTTAGATCGTTCTTTCAACCTTTTGCGCTAGTAACTGGTTCACGGACCGTAACGAGTGACCAAACCAGTATACAATACAATGGTCTTTTCGAATCGTTTTTTTTTTTTTTTTTTTTGAATTCATCGGTATATCACTGGATGGAAATTACAAAAGAAATAATAAATTTATTACTTCTTTTGCCTGGGTTATATTTCGACAATACTTAAAACTGAGAAAATATTGCAATTTTGCAATATTTCTGAAATATTCTCGACGTGCGTGGTGCACGTTATTTCAGCGCAAGAGGTTAAGTCTCGGTCCAACGTTCGTCGATTTAACGCGATTTATAGTTGGACGTCGCGGTTTATAGTTTGAAGGAGACGAGGGTACGTGGATTGTTTATTGTTCGTCTGTGGATTTTTTTATTTTTTCCCTCTTTCATTCGCGTGTATTTATCTCGGCAAAAGAATCTAAGGACTTGATCGTTATTATTTTTCAGTTGATCGTTACACGTCGACGGCCGTGAATGATGAACACGAAGTAGTTGGAAAATTAACAAACGAGGTTGAACTAGTAATTTATATCGTAATATTCGTACGAATGTTTTTCGTCACATGTTCCGAATTAATTCACCCATTTTCTACGTTACGCGTGTCATTGTACAATAGATAACACACGAGAATGCTATCCATTTCGGATAACGTTCAAACGCAGGACCTCGCAATAACTTCTAACACATTGAATCAATAGCAACTCGAATCGAGATTCGTTCGTACAGACGGAACAATCAACGAATAGAAATCCCACGATCGAAACGATCGCATCGTTATTTCGAATTGTACGTCCACGGGTAATTGTAACACAAAACGGGACGTGAGACACGATCGTGAACTTGTGCTATATAATAATGTATATATAGAAACTGCCATTTACCAAGTGCAATACGTATGTACAAAAGAAAGAAAAAAGAGAAAAAAGAAAAAAAAAAAAGGAACGAGAGTGTCAGTCGTCGTTTTGAACGTTGTCGCGCCCGCGATCCGCCGATGGTACCGGTTTCCTTTCCCTTAAGGAGAACAGCGAAAGACGAGCTTCACGTGCTGACGTGAATACGATGCTAATCGTAAGTGTTCATAAGAAGAAGAAGAAAAAAGAAAAAGTTAATTAGGGGACGAAGCTAATGTTATTGAGAAAAACGTGTGACTGAGGAACAGTGACTGGTTTGTTATGGGAGGAATGCACGTTTCGATTGCATTGGCGCACACACTGGTGAGCCATCGAACGTGAAACAAGCGGAGAACATCGACGAGAGGTTGGTGAACGATCCCTTTCTCTTTGTTCTTCTCTCGTCCGTTGGGACGAACGCAAGCTGAGAACAGTCTCGCATTGGGATCCAGAATGTTCGGATGTGTGTACAAGTTGTAATAAAATTTCTTCGTTACCGCCAAACGAACGTATATTACTCTTTTCATTACTCATCTCCGATCTCGGATCTGTAGATTTTCCAATTGAACATTAGTCTACGCTTACTTTCAAATAATATTTCATGTCGGTTCAGGTTGGGGAATTTAAGAAATCAGAATTCTAAGAGTTCGAAGGGGGATTCCAATTTTTTTTTCTTTTCTTTTTTCTTTTTTTTTTTAGAATTTTATCAGAAATTTATCAAAACTCCGAGGTTCCAAGATTTCTGTCCAATTTTCTCCAGTGAATTTTAGCAGAAGAGAATTCACAAAGTTTCACTGGAAATTTCAGATTAACTTTCAAAATTATGCTTCTCGAGGCACCAAGCTTACAAATGCCAGAGCAACGAATGAACTTAATTCACAGAGTTTTATCGGAGACACGAACTTTCAGGATTTTGAAGTTCCAAACGTTTCTATTTGAAATTGGAAGTTTCCTTTCAAATGCCATAAATTCTGTCAGAAGTCTATGAAAATTATTGACAAACGAGGCTCCAATGACATTAGGAAAATTATTATCGAAAATTAAAAACTAGTCGCGAGAATTCTGCGCTTTCCCGACAACAAACAACGCGCGAGGGCACTCTAGATTCCAGTGTTAAGACAGTCCCACCCGCGCAGATTTCACGGGACAACGCGTTCGTTCGTATGGTACCAATATCGCAAACGTTGCGCTTTATGCTCGGGGTCGAGAAATAGAAGTTTTCTTCGGCAACGAGTAAACTAGAAACCACGAAAAAAAAGAGAGAAAGGCAAAAAAGAAAACAGCGTTCCTATTGGGAGAAAAAAAAAAAGAAAAGAAAAAAAAAAATCGTTTGCGAACGGTGGAAACTCCGTATGCAAGAATCAGACGCGAAATTCTAGCTCGTATATCCGTCCACTGAATGTAGAATTTTGATTCGTCGGATTGAATGTTGCGTCATTGCGTTGCAGGACTATCAAACACACAATGTTTGTTCGAATTACGCCGGTAATTCTAATGAAAATACAAAATTAAAATTCAATTTTGCGATCGACACACGTGCTTCGAGCATCGCGACTACAAATTAAAAAAAAGAAAGAAGAAACAAACACACGGCAAGCAGAAATTGCGATCGGAGGAATATTTTTCTTTTTTTTCTTTTTTTTTTTCGGTGAATTATTCGTGATTAAATCTCTGTGGTTTACATGCGTTGCGAAAAGTGCTTACGCTGTATATTTTTTAATATACGTACATCGGTGTCTCTTTTCGTTTCCTTTCTTGCCTCTTGCAACTTCTTTATCGATTTTCCGGTGTTCAAGGTCACGTTCTCTCCTGATTTTGACTGCTACGCGTGAAGATATATGTACATGCACGTTGCACGATTAATTCGAAAGAAACTGACACAAGTTCCTAAAGAAACAGAACTCGACATTCCTGAATGTTTTTCTTTTTTTTTTTTTNTTTTTTGTTTCACAGACACTTGCAGGGATATTCAAAGTATTTGTGCTGATGCTTCCTCACACCGAACCTTACGGTTTGTAATTTTCAAAGCTTTCCAATTGCACGTTCGTTCCTCGTGGTTGTGATACGATTTACATAGAAATTTCGAATAGAATGGTAGCGATGATAGCTAAAAATTTTCTAGATGACCTAACACACAAGTGACGAACGAGTTTAAAGACGTACGTGATACTCGTTTCATACCACAAAAGTTTAAAACTATCACTCTTGGGCATCAAAGTAACGTTCTTTGTTTCCTTGTCCGGCTGATCAGCTTCGCAGGCACGCGATAAAACCATCTTACGATTGTTTTCCAATTTCATCGACTGTAAAATTGTTAATGACACTTATGTCATATATATATATATATATATATATATATATATATATATATATATATTGTTGCTGTTCACTGTTCTTTATATTGTGTCCCCTTAAATTTTCTAATAAATTTATTTACAATCCACGTCTTTGGACATGCAATATCTTTCTGTTTTCCGGGATCAACTGAATGCTGATTATTAATTAACAATTAAATGAAATGTTTTTCTGTTTTCCGGGACGAGTCGAATGCCAGTGTTATTTGTTGTAAAATCGAGGGTCTTACGAAAAATGGAGTTGATCAGCCTTCGGTATTCGAGAGGCTTGTCTCGAGCTTCCGAACGAGCGTTCGAGCTTTCGAATATCCAACGGAGCCTTATATCGATCGCAGTCCTTACGTAAGACGCAATCGTTCCGCGAATATCCGAGGCCGTGAATGATCATCGATGATGCAAACCGCGACAATGTCTTGTGGAACGACCCTTGAATGAAACAAATCCAAGTACTTTCCTCCACCGTGATTCAGCACACGTAAGCGAAGCGAAGCTTAGTGAAATATCTTAGATAAATATGTTACTACCTAGAGGTATATTGAAATATTATTATGTAGTCAATGTTAATAACGCGATGGAGCAACGTGCGAGAGAGAAAGAGAACACGAATGAAAGAGAAAGAGAGAGAGAGAAAGTATGAGAGCAAAAGCAAACGATAAAATGCTAAAAAAAAGAAAAAAATCCTACTGGAACCTATAATTTACGCTTAAAGAAGTCGACAAATTTTCTTCCTTCTCTTTGCAAACGCTGTAAAATGGTTTCGTTTCTACACCATGGACGCACATAACTCGCATTTGTCCCGTTGGCGCGATTTCATTAACCAGGTTAGCAAAGGCAATCGCGAAGAAACGCTGCTTCTCTTTCGCTCGAATCATCCGTCTGGCATTTCGGCGGTTTGTTTGTTTCTTTTTTTTTTTTTTTTCTTCTTTTCAAAACGTCGCGCGTGCACTTCGAAAGTATCAGAATTGAAAATGTCGAGCCAAGTGTTGGGAGAAGACGAGTGTCAAAAGCTATAGGACGATAGAACGTTCAAATATCGTTTCTTAGAACTGATTCCTTTTTCAATGTCACGTTTAGTCAAATTACGTCCTCCCGAAGACTTGCGTCGCTTTTGAAATAATCTACTTTCAAAATAATCGAAGACAATACATCGCACTAAACATTTCCCAATCGAACCAAACGAGACGATCAGAAAGAAGTAATTGAAACTGCAATTTTCTCGCGCGTTTAGATACACCAGGTAGGATTTTTCGAACGAAGGGAGCAGAGTACAGGTGCATCTCGCAAAGAGAGAGCAGGAAAATTCCAGCCTCTCTTCGCGAGTGGTTTATCGAGCTTGTCTGACTGAAACGTCCGGATCCACTCGGCGAGTTGCGACTACCTGGATCCAGGCGAATATCTCTCGATGTCAGTCGATTTTTCCGCTTAGCGTTATATACATACATACATACAAATATATTATGTCGATCGAGTGAAGATGATTTCTGTTAACGAAACGAATAAACGATTCGCAAAAAGCGCGACCGTGCAAAGGCTAATAAAAGAGAGAACGAGAGCGTCTGCGAGAAAGAATGAGAA